TGGAACCAGCGATATGAATGCTAGGCTTGGGAGACCTGGCTTCTGGTCCTGGTGTGGCCCGTGTTTGATCTCCGATGCATCCTGTGATGCTCTGATCCTTGTGTACTATGACGTCATAGAAGCTGGTTGGACTTCATGCTATCCCAGCTAGATCCCCATTCTCGCTTTCTAGGGGTATGGTATACGTGCACAATCATGCGTTACATTAATTAGGACCTGCTTCTATTACACATTTCCAAAATACTTGCACATTTATAATCTCATTTTTAACCCTATCACAAACCAGTGAGATAGAAAGGGCAAATATTTTTGTTCCATTTAGCTTATTTGTAACCTAGGCAAATAGAGATTAAGTTAATAGCAGAGCCCAGATGTCTTGACTCTTGTTCCTGGGCTCCTGCACTAAATTGAACTGGATTAGTCTTTTGGGATATGTGTGAAAGGATAGGCAATTGGATTCTCTGTGGAAAGAGATAACTGGGTAAGTTATGTTAAATTACTGCACGGAGTCGGTAAAATAAAGTTCTATTACCCTTACTGAGAATTTACCTTTGAATCCCTATGTGAAATGGATTAGAATATTTTGTTAGGATTTAAGAAATAACACAAACCCAGAAGAGGTATGCCTCATATTCTTTTAAATGGAGAATTTCTCCTGGGACTTCTTTACATTCTGAAAATTCACTTTATTATTACATTCTGAGGTTTGTGGCTTTAAATGCCATGGCATCTGAGTCTAACTTTTATTGGTGATATTTGTGGTTATCACTTTCCACTGTCATCTTCTCCCATTTCCTTTGTTTTGTTCCATAGATACGATTTGATTTATGAATGAGGGATTTTTGATTCTTTGAGATATATTTTGGCGAACTGGTTCAATAACTTGTTATTGAAAAGCAAAATCCATCAGGGACATATTTTTCTCCTTCCCCTAAAAAGAAATCTCATTGAGACCAACTGTTTATTCATCAGTCATGTCACATTTCTGTATGTTATAAGGACATATCCCCCTTTTCTTTTGTTTGTTAAATATGTCCATAAAGGTATTCAGCCTAAAATACCAGGTTCAAGACTACTTCTAAATTTTGGAAATTATTCCATGAGATAATAAACACGATGTAATTCAGATTCTGGCTAAACCTACAAGACCGCTGCCTTCGTGCAGATGCAGAGTTGAGTTGGTGGCCTACACTAAAAGAGGCTCTGAGAATGAGAAAAGCATTCGAGTTTGGAGATGCCCTTTTATGTCACAGCTTTGATGATCTCATGTTTCCCCATCAGGTCCTCATCCTTTGTCACCGTGAGAGTTCCTAATGAAACTTTGGGGTCATATCCCTAACCTCCTTAGAGCTACCTCTGAGGCATCATTCAAGCCAACTGCCCCCCTACCCACACCACCCATTGCAGAAGCCAAAGTCTTTGGCTGCGTGTAGTCTAACCCTTTTGCTTTCCTGGGAAGGTTTGTAGTTCATTTGCATGACTGTTAAGGTTTAGTGTCTCAAAAACTGGAAGTTGCAATGAAAAATGCCTCATCCCCATATACCTGCCTAACTCTTCAAACTGCACATTAATCATTGGGTGCCTTTTTGTTCTGTTGCAGCCATATCAGAAATAGAACCTGGCTCGTTCCTTCTGGGCACTAATAGAGAAGGTTCTGTGAAACAAAGGAAAAGTTTTGCTTTCTGCCTGCTGTATCTATTATTCACATTTGATAATCACTTTGAGTTGGGCCCTCCTTCCATGCAGCAGACACACTGTATTATATTTTCCTTCCTAGAAAATAGAGCTTTCGTGCACCTATTGTCTTTTCCATCAAGGCATTTGCCATTTGTTTTCCCGTCTTACTTCACATCAAAAACATCTGGGGAGCTTTGAAAAATACGGATCTTGAGTGCACAGGTCTGGGGTGAGACTCTGGGATCCATTGTTTATGATGCCCCACTGGTGGCTCGTGTGCTCAGCCAGGTTTAGGAACCACTGTTCCAAAGCATGTGTGTCAGAAGTCCCCAAGACCACCCATAGGTCCAGTGGTTCTCTCCGAGGACTCAGGGACTCGGCATGTAGAGCTATATCACCGCCAAATGATACAAAGCACAATCAGCAAAGGGAAAAGGCCCATGGAGCGGAGTCCAGAGAAAAGCAGGCACGTGCTTCCAAGAGCCTCCTACTCACGTGTCACCAGGATGTGCTTAATTCCTCCAACATGGAATTGTGATGTGTGTGGGATGTTGTCTACAGGAAACTCACTAGAGACTCGGTTTGATGCTTT